TTGACAGTTATGATGGAAAAGCAAACAGTTACTCCTGTTTACTGAGTGGCATTATTGACTTTCAGCATTTGTTTAGCAATAACCATTCTCAGGATTAATAAGTTCCATTTATAAGGCAGAATAAATCTACTATATTAAGTTACAGCTTGTAATGGAGAGAAATAAATGACACAAAGATATATTTCCCAAAGAAAAAAAAATACAGTTCTAGGGCCTCCAACATAAGAAGGAGGTGGAGCTGCTGGAGCAAGTCCAGAGGAGGGCCATGAAGATGATCAAAGGCCTGGAGCACCTCTGCTATGAAGAAGGGGAGTAATGGCTTTAATCTGGAAGAGGGTAGATTTAGGTTAGACGTTAAAAGAAACTCTTCACTGTGAGGGTGATGAGACACTGGAACAGGCTGCCCAGAGAGGTTGTGGATGCCCCCTCACTGGAAGTGTTCAAGGCCAAGTTGGATGGGGCTTTGAGCAACCTAGTCTAGTGGGAGGTGTCCCTGCCCATGCAGGGAAGTTGGAGCTAGGTGATCTTTAATGTCTCTTCCAACCCAAACCGTTCTGTGATTCTATGAAGCTGAGTGTCTACAAAACCCCCTTTGCCCACTGCTGTTTTGCCAAGCATTTAATATACATGTGAAGTGGTGCTCCAGCAGGACCTGTATATTCCTTCTCCCATAAATAATTTAAAACAGCTGATATAGACAATTACAAGCTATATGCTGTTCCTCAAAACTTTTTATGCTTCTTCGTCAAATCCAGTTCTTTCTGTTTGATGGCACTGGCTTAAAAGCCCTCAAGAAAAAAAAAAGCAACAAACCCAAAGCCAAACATGATACAACTAAACTGGATTTGGAAAGGAAATTTAGATAGGAGTTTGTCTGGGAGGTGACCTTCTCTGTAGGAAAAGTAGGAGATCATATTTGGCTTTGTTCTTAGTATCTCCCTTGCCTGGAACTTGCTGTTCACCTCTGGCAAACTGCTTCATCCTTTTGCCTGTGTTTTACCCATAAAATTAAAATGATGGAATTTAGTTTTATTGTGGTGCAAAGGGGTTCAGTTGGTTATGGAAGTGTTAATGGCTTGCGGATTATAGAAAAATTAACTGAAGTTCTCAGTGAAATACATTTATTTGCAGAGCTTTTGAACCAAAGGATTAATTGAGTGTGCTATAAAAACTTTAGAATTAAGTATATTTAGTAACATTTGAAAGGTTTCTTTGGCTATATGTCCATAAATGTTGGCAAGATGCTGGCAAATTCTAGGAGATAAAAAACACACTGGAAGATAAAGAACTGGAAAAACTGGTCGTAACAATTTAAGCACTGTAGATTTTATCTCAGACTAGTACTTGAAATTCTTACAAGGATGCAATGTTGACATTTATGCATGATTATAGTGTGACGTGTTGCTGAGATGAATCATTGATTTCTCTCTTCAGTGGGTTAAAGAATCAGTTTAATATTGCAGTGGTAATTCTGGGAGAAGTGGAAATGTGCTTTGTGTTGCCTTACTTGATAGTAGCAGAACTTGCAGAGCTTTTTGGCATCCTGCTTACTTGAGTGTTCACTAAAGAAAGCAGAAACAATGGCAAATATTTGAATGACTGTGAAAGACATTGAAGACAGCATTTGATCTCAAAAGATTTTTTTGGTGACACAAGGAGAAAAGAAATTCATACTAGCTGAAGGAAAGACAGGGCTGAAAACTGCTGGTACTTTTGCTAAATGAAAACAAAAGACTGTAGAAATGAATTTCCTCATTCTTAGTTGTGCTGAACAATGATTATGCAGAATTCTCAGTGGGTCTTGTGACTGAGCACTGGATTAGATGATTAGTAGCATTCAGTGCCAATCTGATTGTGCTGTTCTTTGGTGACAGAGAAGTAGGTAACTTCTTTGATGGTGTCTGATGGAATACCAGTAACTAAGAACACTGGAGTTGTACTTGAACTTCTTTGAAAGTTTCTAACTATCATTAAATTTTTTTGTTGGTAAAGATTTTGATACTGAAATCTTGATCTGCAGTACTATAAATTGTTGTGTGTTTGGAGATGTTTCTAGTGTGAAATAAATCTACCAGTTATTGCACATATATGTATCTTGCCTTGGGCTTATTTGGAGTAATGTTTCCTTTACATTTGTGGAAGGTACTGAAATAATCGGGTCTATTACTTAAATAGATGGCAGAATAAACCATAAAAAAACCTCAAAAGTAATCTTGTTTAAGGACAGCTTACTCTGAAGCAGTCCTTCAGTAAGCTACAAAACCATAGGAAAAGTTAAAAATGTCATAAGGTTTAAAAAAAAACCTTAAAAAAATAACACGGGTGAACTGAGGATGACTAGATGGTAAACTCTCCAGGGCAGAGGCTGTTTTTCTTTGCGTTTCTGCAGAGCAGTGAGTTGCTTAGCACTTCTAGACACAACGGTAAGTCAAGTAATTTTTAGAGCTGGGATAGTAATAACAATAACCCTTAGATGACTAGATGGCTTTAGGCATGGGCAAATGAATTTTTGAGGAAAAAAATAGCTTGTCTTAGAAAAATGCTTCTTAAAAAATGAGGGGAATGCTTGAGTATGTGTAAATCCATTCTTAAGGGACTACCTTTGTGATCAGAAGAGGGGTCAGGAATTGGCAGAGAAGTAAAATGGAATATCTGTAAAATTCAGTCTTTTGAGTGTGATCTGGTTGTGTGGTAAACAGTATGGATGGATGTATATATTGAGTGTTTCAAGATCAGGTTGGAATGAAAGGAAGAAGAGCAATTCACTTTTGTCCCTTGACTGAAGAGCTGCTGATACTCCCCAGTGCTGTTGGTCCTAAGTGTCATACTGGTCCCCTCATACTGCTAAAGAGGAGCCTCATTTCCTGTATCCTGCAAAATATGATGGAGTCAAAACTGCAAAAGTAGCTTAACAATTATTTGGGTCAGTTCATCACACATTATCTCTGGTGCTGCTGCATCCCCCTCTTTCCC